TATATTTTGCAAGGATGCATTGTTGCTAGTGAGAGAGAGATTAATTGAAACATGGTTTTATTAAATGCATCGTTGGTTAGAAGGCACCTAAGGGATGGTAATGATGTTCAGCTGCACAACTTAACCTACGCCATACGTTTCGAGCGACTGAATAATTAATAAGCACCCGTAAATATTACTATTGTGGCACAAACTTGATAAACTCAAGGCACAAGATAATTCGATGAGCTCTCGATGACGAGTTTCAGCATTGGCTTTGAAATCTGCCGCCCAATTAATATTTGCTGAAGATGAGAAGTCAGTCTGATTCTTGATTTTGCCCTCTTTGGGGGTTCTTCATCACACCTCAATTTAGTCACTCGGCTATTTTCATTTTCAAGGATGATAAACGAGTACCATTAATCGAAAATCACAAAGGAGGCTACGCAGTATGCTTGCCATACAACTGTGATTCTGCCTTAAAAATAAGGTAGCTCCTTTCTCTTTCAGAGATCAGTATCCCGCCATAAGCTTCATGATGCCATATATGACGCATAATCGTGCATTTGTAAGGAAGATTGAGGGCCAAACGGCTACAAACTTTCCTTGTCATTTTTTATCATCTGCTGAGTCATAGATTAAATTGGACCAGCGAGTTTCCCATTTCGGCAATAATTATACGTTTGGAAAATAATAATGGAGTTTTTCAAGTTTTTATATTTTCTTTATCTACCTTCAGCTCCAAATATATTGCCATTATTTGCGACCGAAAATTCATAAATTTTTATTCATTTATTTAACTTTTGCTATTGTCAAGCAGAGTGAGGCGAATTTACCAGCTTAACTTCCAAGCGAATGTAACAGTTCTCCGTGGTAAAACATGCGTTACATAAACTCAGAGCATTTTTGGGGACCATCATTGCATCGATTTCGAATGAAATAACGGTGGAATTTCGTCATCGTGTCGCTTACCTTCTGAACGATGATCGCAACGACTCGCAAGCGACTGGAGATCCGGAAAGAAATTAATAAGTAATCGATGAATCATATTGGAAATATGAAAATATATCAAATAATTTTTACGTTCTCTGACAGTCAAAGATACGAAAAATCCTTGAAAATAATGCGGTCAAGAATTGCGTATTAATGTAACGTCGTACTTCTGAACAAGAATATTCCTTTGTGTCATATTCTCTAGCAGCTTGGTAAAAAGTTTTTCAGTTTTGGCATGACAGCACCAGCTGTCCAAACTTTTCACATGTCAATAACTGGCAGTTCACTTCTCTGGTAGTCATGCCAAACCTACGAGGGATAATACTTGAATTTTAGGATTTCAAGGTTCGAAAAAAAGTAGAATTCGCCATGGCGCCTGAACCTGGATCCCGTCATAACGCATGTGATGACACTGACTACATGATGACGCCCAAAACCCTGGTCTAAAGCAAATGACACTTACGCTGAGAACTGGGCTTACATTTAAAGCTTTAACACAAACAATGATGACTGTCTGCGTCACCTGCACAAACGACAAGATCACGGACAACGTTGATGATGTAACTTAAGAGTCACTGGAGTAAGAGTTA